AATATTGCGAAGTATTTGCACAAACTCATGTTTCTAATTGAATACAAATATCGCTAAATTAGTGCCTGTTACAGAGAGGTTGTTATTGTAATGTTTTTTTTTTTTTTGCGAGGTTTTATTTGGCGAAAGTTAATTGTCTTTCGCACAACATCAATTGCTGATTTTTTTCCCTCTGAATATATTTCTCCTCCGGCCGAATTCAGTTTTTTTTCTCCCTCAAAAAAAAGAGGAAAAAAAAGAGAGAGAAGATGAAGGAGAATAAGAGAGAGAAGAGAGAGAGAGAGAGAGAGAGAGAGAGAGAGAGAGAGAAGAGAGAAGAGAAGAGAGAGAGAGAGAGAGAGAGAGAGAGAAGAGAGAGAGAGAGTAGAGAGAGAGAGAGAGAAGAGAGAGAAGAGAGAGAGAGAGAGAGAGAGACGATGAGAGATGAGAGAGAGAGAGGAGAGAGAGAGAGAGAGGAAGAGAGAGAGAGAATGAGAGAGAGAGAATGAGAAGAGAGAAGAATGAGAGAGAGAGAGAGAGTGAGAGAGAGAGAGAGAGAGAGAGATGAGAGAGAGAGAGAGAGAGAGAGAGAGAGAGAGAGAGAGAAGAGAGAGAGAGAGAGAGAGAGAGAGAGAGAGAGAGAGAGAGAGAGAGAGAGAAGAGAGAGAAGAGAGAGATGAGAAAGAGAGAAATATTTTCCTAAAATCCTCTCTATTCTTTTTTTCAAGATTTTTTTCTGTGTGCTACAGGAAAGTCTTTTCAATTATCACTCGATGTATAATGGAAAGAAATGAAAGAATTGGGAAGAGGAAATTAAGATTAAGTGTAAAATAAAAAATGTCTCAATCATTATTTGTCAATCTACCTATATCTTTGTCTAACTTTTTATCTGTTTCTATATCTATTTATTTCTATGTCTATCTAAATTCCCATTTTATATATCTATATATCTACCTAATTATCTATAGCTATGAATAAAATTAATCAATCTATCAGTATCTATATCTACTTTATCTATCTACCTACTTACTATTATCTCTCTCTCTCTCTCTCTCTCTGTATCTCTATCTCGCTGTCTCTCTTCTTCTCTCTGTCTATCTACCTTTCTCAACTATCGGTCTACCTACCTATCTACCTCTTTACCTACCTGCCATTCTATCCATCTATCTATCTATCTGCTTATAAGAGGAGAGAGAATAATCCTCCTCCCTTCCTCCTTCTTCTCCTTTCTTCAGGTGACTCCCTCCACCTCCCTTCCTTCGAAATAAAGAATAAAAAGATCCTAAACGCTCCTCCTTCTTCCCCTTCTACAGGAGACTCCACAGCCGCCATCCTGACGAACGCCGGACGTCCTCGCCAGCTGTGCTCCGCTACGTTCACGTTCGCGCTCGCCCTCTTCACCCGCCTCTTCTGTGACGTCACCATCCGGGACTCTCTGAAGTGAAGACCCGGATGTTATTTTTTATGACTTTAACCTTTATCGTATACAGATATTAAATATATATATATATCTATTGATGTTTTATAAAGAAGAAGAAGAGAGAGATTTTCTACTTGTATATCAGTCTCAATGAAAATGATAAAATGGACTTGATTGTTGTTTGGTTTTGCTTACCTTTTATGGATTAAAAAAAAAAAAAAAATGGAAATACGAAGACAATGTCTTTATTTTGACACTTTTTTTAAAATCTCAAACCTGACAGATAATGGACCGTTTTTTAAAGGATGGAAAAGAAAAAGAGGAAAATAAGATTGACAGAAATATATCTAAGCAAAAAAAAAAAAAAAAAAAAAAAAAAAAAAAAAAAAAAAAAAAGGAACCGCCAATGAAATTGTTTCTCTAACTATTTATTCAGATTCATTTGCATTCCAGGATTAGTATCACCATTGTCGTTATTTATAATTTTCTCAACAAAGTCCTCTTGCACTGGAATGTCTGCTACCTCTTTCTCTCTCTCTCTCTTTCGCTCTTGCTTATTTACTCTCTCTCTCTCTCTTTCCCTATCACTCATTTGCTCGTTCTCTCTCTCTTTCTCTCTTTCGCTTTCGTTTATTTATTCTCTCTCTCTCTCTTTCGCTCTCGCTAATTTGCTCTCTCCCCTCTCTCTCTCTCTCTCTCTCTCGCTCCTTTGTTCTCTTTCTCTCTCGCTCCTTTGCTCTGCGTCTCTTTCTTTTGCTTTCACTAATTTACTTTCTCTCTCTTTTGCTCTCGCTTATTTGCTCTCTCTCTCTATCTCTTTCGCTCTCGCTTAATTTTTCTCTCCCTCTATCGCTCTCTCTCTCTTTCTTTAGCTCTCGCTTATTTGCTCTCTCCCTCTCTCTCTCTTCGCTCATTTCTCTCTCTCTCTCTCTCTCTCTCTCTCTCTCTCTCTCTCTCTCTCTCTCTCTCTCTCTCTCTCTCTCTCTCTCTCTCTCTCTCTCTCTCTCTCTCTCTCTCTCTCTCTCTCTCAATATCGCCCTTCTTGCTACTTTAGCTCATCATTCATAAAGATTAATGTTTCATAATCAAATGAACTCAATTGCGTTCGATGAAATTCATGCTAAGCAATATAAACAATTTTATGATGTCCGATATATTTAGAAACAAACAAAAGCATTGCAATAAACAGCACATTTCTTGCAAAAAAAAAAAAACAAAAAAAAACGCTAAAATTGCAGTAACGAACATTGCCGAATCTATAACCCTTGTGGCTCCCTGGTTGAGAGGAGAGGATACTGACCCTAAATTCAAGATACCATAAGGCTCCTGATAGCATATCAGAGATCAACGTTTACCTGAAGCGAATCTATAATGACTAGATATTGCGTTTGAGGTGAATTCAGCTTAACGGAAATTTGAGAAAAATAGTCTTGGCTCAGACTTTTGGATGTTGGGTCTTAATATGTACATAAATATATATGGATATATGTGTAATACATACATACATACTTACTTACATGCACACACACACACACACACACACACACACACACACACACACACACACACACACACACACATATATATATATATATATATTATATATATATATATATATATATAATATAATATATGTGTGTGTGTGTGTGTGTGTGTGTGTGTGTGTGTGTGTGTGTGTGTGTGTGTGTGTGTGTGTGCATGAAATATATATTTATGTATGTAATAGTTACAATAATACTGAAACGAATAATAATAAAGATAACAACAACAATGATAAGATAATAACAACACCAACACCAGCAAAAATAATGATAAAAAATAATAATAATGATTGTTATGATTATGATATTGATAATGACAATAAGGATGATAATAATGATAATGTTATATCAAATAATGATGATGATGATGATGATGATGATGATGATGATGATATTGATTATGATGATGATGATGATGATGATGATGATGATGATAATGATATGATAATATTATATCATTGATAATAATTATGATGGTGATGATAATAATAACAAAGTAATAATGACATAATAATATATATATAATATATATATATATATATATATATATATATATATATATATATATATATATATATATATATATATATATATATATATATATATATATATATATAATATATATATAATGCTCAAAATGTAAAAAAAAGAGAAATTTTCTCAAAATTACGGTATTTTGGGGACAACTTTTAAAGGTATGTAGGGAATGAAAATATAACCCTTTGAAAATTGTTTAGAGAAAAAATATGCAGTATGTCACTATATACATATTAATAATAAATGAAAAATATTCAAATGATCAAAAAAAAGAAAGAAAGAGAAAGAAAGAAAGAAAAAGAAAAAAAGAAGAAAGAAGAAGAAGAAGAAAAATGTTTATGTTCAAAATCTGAAAAAAAGACAAAGAAAAAAAAAAAAAAATTACGATATTTCAATGAAAATATACCCTTCTCTCTCTCTCTCTCTCTCTCTCTCTCTCTCTCTCTCTCTCTCTCTCTCTCTCTCTCTCTCTCTCTCTCTCGATATATATATATATATATATATATATATATATATATATATATATATATATATATATGTGTGTGTGTGTGTGTGTGTGTGTGTATAGTAACAGGGTGTGAGTGAAAGTTAAGGACGAGTAAAGTAGTGTGTGTTGTGTGTGTGTGTGTGTTGTGTGTGTGTGTGTGTGTGTGTTGTGCGTGTGAGTGTGCGCGCGCGTGTGTCTGTGTGCTTTTAAAGCCCAATTTAGGATGAGTGTAAAATTCACATGCATGTGTATGATTGGCTGCTTTGCACACTCTTTGTTCAACTGACATAAAGAAGACACCATTATACAAGCAAATACGAGTATTTATATCGACTTTGTTACGAATTCCGTTCCTCATATCGGTCAGACTCCCTTTAATGTTTATCTGACCTCTCGACTTTTTTCCGGATAGACTGGAGTATACTTACCTGCGAGTTGCTTGTTTTCACACCGTCTCTGTACTGCGTGTGAGAGGGCCCCCAGAGGCACTCAGGAAGGCATGCTGTTTGCCTTGCATTAAGAAGACAGCTTATGAACACAGAGTTCGTTTCACCGAAGGTTAAAAGTCGTGAGAAAAATAATAAAAGAAAGATGGGGTTGGGAGTGTGATATCAGGAACAGAAATAAAGATGTTTTCTCTTTTTCCGGGAACCTACAATGGCTTCGACCTTTGTGTTGTGAAACGTGGGTTTTCCGCCGTAGATTTTCTAGGGATTCAACAGTGTGTGATCCGAAAATAGATACTAGAACCATGAAATTTATGGTTGATAAAGCACAGGAATTGAGGATTCCCTTATAAAAAGAATATCTAAGCTTTTCGTAAAGCGTATATTTCTACTGCATAATGATTTTTTTTTTTTGTCGGGGAAACAACTGATGTAAACTACCGCTTCCCAAGCTAGATCGTGGTTCAAGCGGGTTTTCTGTGAGTTATTCCTCCTTGATCACTGGAACAGCGACGCCACTCTCCAGACCTGAAAAATCCAAGACGAATTACGCGTAAAAAGGGTTTCGTTAAGGTTTGTCTTTATCCCCTTCAGAGTCGTAAATTTCAAGGCTTCTGACGAATCTGCTTTTGATTACTAGTTCCAGGTTTGGAGCTAGTAATCAACATCAGCAACCCAGCTCGCTTGGGAATTGTCGTGAGCACGATTTCATAATGTTTATCTACTGCGGGTTTTATGACGAATTATTTTGGGCTAAGAGTGCCTGCGAGAGTGTTTTATTTTGTTTTTAATTTGTTTTTCGCTTGTTTACGTTTTTTTGTTTTTAATTTGTTTTTTGCTTGTTTACGTTTTATTTTGTGTTTAATTTGTTTTGCTTGTTTACCTTTCATTTTGTACATATTTTTTTTTTTTTTTCGTTTTGTTTATCAGCTTTTTCTTTTTTACTATTCGATTACAGAGTGGTCTAACAGATGATTCTGTATTCCATATGATTAGTCTTATGGTCGAATTATTACCTGTGACGATGGATATGACGTGTTTTTAAATTATTTTCTCTTTTAATCAATTATTTGAATACTAGATATCCTTTGGTTTTCAAGCTTTCCCATCGCTTAGTTAAAGGAAGGTCCAAAAGAAAAAGAAAAACAAGCCAAAACAAACACCCACTTTCAACACTGTAACCTTACACATCCTGCTGCAAAAGACGCGCCTGAATCCCGGACACTATCAACGCCCAGACATAGGAACGCGGATATCCTTTGTAATGTAATATATCCTCTTTAGGAATGTGCACCAGTGACTTCACGTATCTACCTTTGCCTCCGTATCTAAGCCTTCCATATTTTTCCCTTATCGGCTCTCATGAATTTATCGCCATTTTCTCTTTTCTCATCTCTACGCCAGGGAATATTTCTGTGAAGTTTAATCAGTGGAAGTTAAGTCAGTAAGGAGATGTATTCGAAGACATAAAAGGAATTGGATATAAGGATGGCAGTCAAATTAAGTTAATGTTGAATATCAAATGATAACCTTGTCATTTATCTCTTATTGAATAAGCAGTCGACGAATAAATAAAAGGATGATTGAATAGACTGAAAAAAGCTCTTGGATCCTATAAAAGCACGGACAAGCTCCAGGGAAAGGTATTGAATCATACGTTTCATATCGTGGAGTATTAAATCGACTTATACCCAACAATAAATAATAGAACTCCCCTCTCAGATCCCATGATGATACCTCTACGGCTGACAAATGTGATTTAGGATCATGGAGTAAGTATAGATTTGGAATCCATTAGCAAATTCGCCATTTCGACCCCGTAGTGTAATATCCAAGCAAGGTGTACCAACTCACCTGTACATAACCTGTATTTAGCGTTTGTTTCATCACCGGCTGCGGGTTAGTTCGTACAATCAACGGAGCTTTTAATTCATTTTTACTCTGTCATTATACCTGTCAAGTCACGCCATTCTGTGAGGCGTAAACAACGGATACATTAGGTGATTTGAAAGATTAAGAAGGAGGGTCTGGAATATATTTTTTCACTCCCTTCCATTCATCAGTATCAGGGAATCAGCATAATTCACAAGGTCTCAGAAATGACTGGGTTTAAGGACATAAAGGTGCACGTGCTTCTTCA